GAATACTTTTCTTCACTGAGAAGGTTCCAGAAACTACCTCCTGTTGCCATGGATTTGATCTGAATATCGTTTTGCAGTTTCAAAATCTCATTTTCTACTTCAGATGTATCCATGTTAATTAATGTGGCCATTCTAGATGCAATATCTTCAATATTTGTGTCTTTACCAAATGGAAAACACATGTATGTTGCAACAGGTTCTATTGCTGCTATATCTTGAAACCATCTATGAAAATCTGAGACAAGGTTTTGTACCTGTTCAGCATAGCGAGCACTGTTAAACTGGTCACATTGTTTACCTTGGTTTTCCAGTTCTGACATCATATTTCTGAAATTTCATAGTGCATGTTGCTATAAAGACACGAGTTTTAGTTTCTGCTTGAAAGCGGTCACAGCACTAATCATGTCAACTACAGTTTTACCCCGCTTAACGCGCTTTCACTAACGCGTTTTCGCATATACGCGGTGCCTTGCCAAAGCTGAACTTTCACTTAACGCGGGTTTTTTCCACATATACGCGGTGAGTGTCCGGCTCGGATGCTATTTTTAGATTTTGCCCACGCGCCACCCACCCGCCCGCCTGCCTGCCTGCCTCTCCCTCCTCCTCCCTCCGCTTGGGTAAGCGGCGCGGTAAGGTTGCGCAGTGTGTGTCTTTGTTGCGTTATCACTGACGTCATATGACGTCTCGGACTGTGATTGGCCATGCAGCCCTACCCCCCTCTGCTGCTAGCTGTAATTGGCTTAAAGTATTATGACGTGACTACCCCGGGGAGGGAGGGAGGGAGGAGAGACGACGCTTGACCTAGCCGCGGCAGTTTCATCCCTCAAGGCCACGCCGGGTTAACGCGCATCCATTGTTCCGTAAAATGGCTTCCGCCGAGTTCTTCGCCCGCAACCCACCACAGCCAGCCCAAGCCAGTGATAGTGATAGTGAAGTTGATTTTGAGGGATTTGTCAGGGAAGCCATGACAACTGTAAGTGACAGTGATATTGATTCACCTAGTAATGGTGATTCACCTAGTAATGGTGATTCACCTGAGGGGCAGTAATCTGCCCTCTGCCTCGGAACCAGCCTCCATCCCCGTATGCCGACCCATCTCTTCTACTACCGTGAGTGTTCCTCAAAAATTTTAGTTTTTTAACCTATTCTTTATTTTTCCTATGTTAACCTTTATCTTTCCTAACCTAACCTCTTCTATATTACTTGTTTTTCATGCCACCATAAAGTTAAGATAGAATTTTTACTACAACATAGTTATTTGTCGTCAAAAAGTGGAGTTTGGGGGTCGGGCTGGGTTCTATTGGAATTAATCCCATATGTTCTGTTATTCACTTAACGCGGTTTTCACTTAACGCGGGACCCTCTGGGTTCAATTGACCGCGTTAAGTGGGGTACAACTGTATAGTTTTATCTTTTCCTTGCAGATCTAAGTTCAGTTCATTTAGCATACCAGTCATGTCAACTAAAAATGCTAAATCCAACAACCACTCTTCGTTGTCCAAAAACTGGGTGTGATCAGAAGGCCGATCTTTTGAAGCCAAAAACACTTTTATCTCAGGTTGCAGATTTATAAATCTCTGGAGAAATTTACCTCTACTTAACCACCTGACATCGGTATGCAACAACAGGTCAGAGTGCTCTGCTTCACTTTCTTCTAGCTGACTTCGGAAGAGTAGTCTCTGAAGACTTCTGGCCCGAATTGAATTCACAATCTTGAGAGAAATGCCCATGACTTCTGTCATATTCAACATTTTACCACAAAGTGCCTGTTGATGAATGAAGCAATGATAATTAAAGAAGTCAGGAAATCTATCATCGCCCCTGCAAAGGGCAATGAACCCACTGATTCGGCCAGCCATTGCAGGTGCTCCATCAGTTGTCATTGATACGAGCTTACTTACTGGCAACTGTCTTATTGACAAAATCACTGGAAGTCTGAAATATGTCTTCACCTCGAGTTTTTCCTTTTAATGGTAGAATCTTCAGTAATTCCTCTTTTGTGCTCATATCTTTAAACACCATTCTAATGAAAATGCAGTTGTGATGTATCGACCACATCAGTAGATTCATCAAACTGCAATGATAAGAATACACACTCACGTATGTCTTTATTCAATTGTTCACCCAAATCCTCGGCCATAAATTCAGTGCCTCATAACAGTGTTTCTTGATAACTGAACTTCTTTAATAGCAGACATTATTTCAGACTTGTTTTTTAAATTTTCAAACAACGATTCCGCTGCTTCTAAAAAAGCCTCTTTGAATATTTCTCCATCCTGAAATGGTTTTTTGTGCTTTGTGAGTACTCGACTCACCCTGAATGATGCAATGGTTGCTACCTTTGATTTTGAACTCGCTCCTGTAAAAAGGGTTTGTTGTGTGGAAAGCTGTGATTTCAGTTCTCGAATTTTCCTTTTTCGTAGCTCACTTTTGGGAGGGATATCACTGTCATACTTCTTGTGAAAACTTTTGAAATGCCTTTCAACATTTCCTTTCTTCGCTAGAGCTGGGGATACATGACATATCAGACACACACACACTTCAAATTGTTCATGGTAAAAAAAATAATCTTCCTCCCATTCACTGTGAAAATTATGTTTTACTTTTTTTAGCACTTGGTCCAGCCCCACCACCACTCATTTTGGTTCGGTTGATGTCTAATAACCTATATTTGGAAAAGAAAAAGTTTTACGTGAATGTGAGAAATACTTTCTTCTATAACTTTTCCTACGTGAATATGAGAATTACTTAACTAACCGGAAAGACGTAACGTCGTAACGTTTTTCTGCTTTTTATTTTTTTTCACAAGTGTAGTCACTTCTGTCTATTCTAGGGTTGCAGAAATAACTGTTGCTAAGCTATAAAAGACAGTAATTCTCACAATCACGGAAGACTCTTTCATTACAAGACAATGATCCTCACAGTGACACACACCTCTACACTGCTACGTCTGGTGACAAATGTGGAGGCTTGCGGGGGACAGAGTTGCCAATTAAGACTTACGTTGACAATTATTATGATTCACTGCTGTAGACAAGACTCGCCAACTCTGAGTCGACTTTTTAATTACCAAAGTCATTAATATTTGTAAACTTACCAAAGCCTACATTGGCACTACAAATAATGACAATTTGCAAATCAGTTTTAACAGCAACCAGCTATCACCCATACCGTAATGAACGCAGTAGTAGTCTGTCTTTACATATAATTGTATATCGTTCATACATGTCCATCATTATAAATATAGTTTATTCCCAGAAAAAATATAAGCAAAAATAATAATCCAAATATTATGAGTAAAATTTGAATATGATGTTTGTATGACAGCTTCTGAAGGACGGATTATTAACAGGCACTGATCGACTTAAAACAGGCTAGTGATTGACCAGTCGATCGCGATCGACTGGTTGGCCACCCCTGCTCTAGACTCTAGAGAAGCTGATCATGTTTGAAGATGTAGCTTCTTTCTTATTTTTGATTCACAAACATTGTAACCAGTTGGCATATTTACCGAGACTTTCTAAACTTGTATAGGCTCCATGTCTTGAGTGTGTAATCTCGTGACGTATGGAGTATTCTACTTCCTCTTCTTGGTACATGTACTCAGCGAGCACTATTCAGACGAGACACGCCACTATCTCAACTTTAAGGTGGACCTTGTGGTGCCAATCGTCACCCTCCTTGTGCTCATTTCCTATCTTGGCTGGTTCAGGATAACCAAGGCACTCCTTTCACCTCTTTGGCATCAATGATCACCTCTGGATTATGATCTTGGATGTTGAGAAGGGTGATGGTAAAAGTTGCTTCAAACTTCCCCAATAGTAACAGGAACACCATACCATCTGTTATTCATGCCTAGCATACACAAGCATGGAAAATAACCATAAAACAGTGATGTTAATAATGATCCATTTATATTCCAAGCATTATCTCATTGTAAAATTTTATGGCTACTAAAGTAGGCTAAGGTGGAGTTGCTGATTTTGCTCAGTTGATATAACTCTTTCCTATGGCCAATAACTGTATCACTAGCTAATTAAATCCCTTTCCAAGTAATTTGCATGTGCTTCAGTTTTATCTATCAATGTTTGTAGAAAGTTTAGATTTCTTAATATCAAAAAGTTTAGCAAGGTGTCACATTGATCATCCTTACAACTCGGCATGAAACAATTACACATCTTTCATACTCGCAATTACAATGTCCAAAACAATATAGCACAAGCATATCTAATTTGAATACTGTACTGAAAAAAAGTCTACTATACATTTTGTTTTCCAATTAAACACTACATGGGGCCCCCAAGTTAGCGGATTTTTACTTCGCTGTTCTCGGTTATTCGCAGATGGCACCCTGGATGTACCCAAGATTGTCTGTGGGTAGTTTTAAAGTTGCCGGCATTTTCGCGACTGGGACAGTGGGCCATTCGTTCTAGGGACAGTAATTTCCTTTATCTGTATTGTAAATGTATGTGTGTGTAGACACACAAATAAATAACAACGTGAATCTACCCTCAAGTCAGTGCTCTATTACAGTACTGTACTTTATTAATAGAGCACAAACTTGAGGGTAGACTCACATTTTTAATAAATATGTTTCTGATTATTTGTAAGAGTATTTTCCAATTTGTATTTATTTGTATGTGTTTTGTGTGTGTGTGTGTATGTGATGTGCACACACGCACACACACATATACAATACGACAGGTAAAAGAAATAATTGTCCAAAGGGCAAACACAAAGGGAATATACATTTCTTCGTACACACAAAAAAAAAATGTAAACCAACCCTCACCCCCCACCCCCATCCGCAAATGTTTTTCGCAGTCATTTTGAGAACCTTTCCCCTGCGAATTTGGGGGGGCCCTCTGTACAGTATTGTAATATCAGTTCCACTTGCTTATGACTTTCCTAAGATAAAATGAAGAAATTATCAATAGTGTATCATGTTTACTGCTAAATTAATGAGTTTCAGTATTTATGGATTAAAAAAAACCAGTCCATACAATGTACATTTACTTAAATATTAAAACCTCTTAGGTGAGATAATTTACAACACAACTTTATTCAATATATGACAAGCTATACGGGTATGAACAACTATATACAAATGTGCCCCACTCCCTTTTAGCTGGTGAAAACGGATTCAAAATTAATTTGCAAAAATTACAGAAAAACATTGTCATTTTCTCATGAACTTTTCTATTGTACAGTAACTGACGCAGCTACACAAATAAAATTAAGCTAACTGTATGTCAACATGTATACAGCACTTAGCATTTTGCTACATAAAAATAAAAAAAAGCTGATATAAATGTAAATTCCATTAAAAAAGACTGTCCTTTTCAAGCAATTTATTAAGCTTCAAAATGTTTGGGCAAAATATAAAATATTCTTTAAATTAAGTAACATTCTGGTTGTGATTTGAATGATTTAATGTATCATATGACCCTCACAGTTAGCAAGACTAAATACATATACTGTATGTTTAAAAAAAAATCCACATGTCTTTTATAAATAAATACTATTTAAAAATTGATAGGTTTGCCAAAATATGCTGCCATGTTGGCTTCCCTGAATGCTTCTGAACAGGTTGGATGGGCATGACAAACCCGAGCAACATCTTCACAGCTGGCACCATATTCCATAGCAAGTGCAGCTTCATTGATCATTTCTCCAGCACCTGGCCCAATGATATGTGCACCAAGCATGCGGTCAGTTTGTTTATCTGCCAAAATCTTCACTAAGCCATCTGTGTCATTGTTACATTTGGCACGGGAATTTGCTGCAAAGGGGAACTTTCCAACAGCATATTCCACACCCTGCAAATAAATAATTAGTGTGAGTGACCCATGCAATTTACTGTTTGTGGCAGAAGTAAAAGAGAGATGGGCAAGTATGTAGAAGAAATATACAGTGAACCCTCAAAGATCCTGACTAATAGGGGGGACCACCTGTCTGAAAAAGCTGATTGTCCGAATCTTCTGGCGAATAATAAATGATATAAGAAACACCAAAAATACAGTAATGTAGTCTCACTTGCTCTTTGCAGTGGATAGATGAGTTTGTGTTGCCGTGATCATATAGAGGGGACCGAGAACAACTTATTATTCCGAGTCAGAGGAGCAGGGATGCCCCTCGGTTTGGCTTGGCTGGTAGGCAGAAGGGGCGCGAGTAACAGGTTTGAAGAAGGAGTCCAGCTTAAGTTGCTTCCCTGCGTTGTACTGTTCCCTAATAATAAGTTCTCTTAGAGTCCAAAGGTGTTCATAATATTGATACATTTGAGGACCGGATGTGTTGTCAATACAAGTTAAGACATTGTCGACTGACTCTCGTACAATAGACAACTTAACGGTAGGCATCTTCACACGTGACTCCTCTCCATGTCGTCGTCCGCTCTGTCAACAGCGCGGACAGCATCGGCAATCCCCTCAGCCGAAAGCATCTGGTAACCAGGCTCACCCTCATTTTCCTCCAACCACGTCTCCACATCCTCCATGGTTATATTGTTTTCTCCATCAACGTGTAACATTTGATGAAAATCCATTACCTAAAATCCCTCAAAGTCAAGTTTAGGCTCAGTATCAAGCAGAAATTTCTTCCAGGTGTTAGCTAAGGTAGATATCTTGATGTCCTTCCACGAAGCAGCAAAGTTGAATATGGCTGATTTCAAATTGTATTTCTTGATGTTGGCTAATGTACATTGCCCTTTTGTGTCATTCACAACATCTACTTCGTTCTCCAGCACTAACAATACTTCATTCCGGTACCTCCTCTGGTACAACCTTTTGCATGACACAATAACTCCCTGGTCCAAAGGCTGAATAATGGACGTAATGTTGGGCAGCAGAAACGGCACGAATTTTATCATCACTGCTGACCAGATTCTCAGCACTAGGGTGAGCCGGCGCATTATCAATCAGCAGAATTACTTTGACATCTTCAGGATCCAACTTCATGACCTCTTCTTGGTATTTGCATACATCGGTCCTTGAAGACTTCACGATTAAACCATGCATTCTTGGAATGGTAGTAAATAGCTGGCAACTGGTGCATACAATCCTTTAGCATTCGTGGGTACATAGACTTGCCAACAACAGCTAACTTTAAGCGGTGCATACCATTAGCATTAGCACAGGATAATGCAGAAATGTGCTCCTTACTCACTTGTGGCTCTGGTGTGGATGCTTCATAATTAAAGACTTCGATGTGGGTTGGGGAGTGACAGCCAAAATAACCCTGTTTCATCAGCATTACAAACTAGTGCCAAGTTCAGCCCCTTGTCCTAGATGAGTTGGTTTAACTTCTGCCTAAACTGCTCGACTTCTTCGGTTTCAGCACTCCCAGCCTCACCGTGCAACTTCCTGTTACGTTTGTCATGGCGATTTTGGAACCTCCACAGCCAACCATCATTAGCTTTGAATAAAATACCTAAATACTGAGCCTGCTTAATAGCCACTTCAGCGATCTCCACACCACGATCTTTAACCCCACATGCACGCTGCTGAACAAACCACTTGAACACACAGTAAAAAAAAGTATCACACAGGAGAGATCTGCTGACTTTCGTAATGATCCATACATCACCTGATGTGCCGGGAGGGTTGGTATGCATGCTTGTAAGACAAAGGTTTCCGCCTACCTATGGTAGGGCAACAGATATGTGAGGACACCCTCTGGCAAGGAAAAGAGAGCTACCACCATTATATAGGACCAACACGCATAATCCACTATTCTTCGTCCGTGGTGTCATTGTTTCGCACATTATCCGTGTAGTACTTTTTTTACCGTGTACACTGCTTCTTCCAGCTCTTTATCCTTCGGCATTTTCAGATGCTTCCTTGCACTAGCCGTACTGGCACCATCAACATCATACTTCATTGCAAATGCAGTAAGTTTATCCTTAACCTTACGTAAGTCTGACAGTTTGTTTCTTCGCACCGTATTCATCACAGACGAGAGCCACGGACACACCAGACTCTAACTTCTTTATTTACCCAATTTTCTGCACAACTTCTGTTGTACATGTTTTCTCTTCACACTACCACTTGCTTTAGAGGCAATCATTAATCACTATTAAGCACTATGTACGTGTCAGTAAACGTAATACACAGTAAATCCAGTGATATATGTGGCAGGGCCAAGCGACGCTTTACTACAGCAGCTGATGCACTAACTAGCCAACCCAGCAACTTACTCCCCCTTGCTTCCGGTCCATTGCCAGGCATACGATCAAAATACATATCTTTTAGTCTAATTTGAAAATGGTGACAGACACAAAGATAAAAAAATTATACAAACCATACATTTACCTATGATAACATAAGAAGAAAATTGTATCATTACTAGAGTGAATGAAATAATATTCCCACAAACAATACTTGTCAACTCTGTTTGTTTCCCACTGCCTCAAGGCACCTATGACCCGTGCAACTGGTCCACCAGCGCCCACGGGCCTAAAATATTCTTTGTTCCGTTAAGGGAACGCTTTATAGGGAGGCTTCTTAACCCAGAACCCCCCAAATACAGTATGTATTTACGATGGTGGGTGCATGTAAATGAGTAAAAATAATTGAAGAAAGTTAAGTATATCTTCCCAAAAATAAGGTTGAAAACCAACCATAATTCCTCACACCTTGGGCCAGAAGCCTGGTGGTTGCAGTGATGAATTTAGCCTGGCTACAATGCCATGATTAATCACTATTATATCAGTAAACACTAATAATAATAGTAAATCCAGTGAAATATGGCAGGGAGGGAGGAGAGTTAAGTGCAGACGACACTCACTCACTCCCTTTACCCGCACATGTCGCCAGGTGTGCAATCGAAATACAGGTTGACAATCCCTTATCCGAAATCCTTGGGACCAGATGTGTTTCGGATTTCAGACTGTTTTTTGTTTTGTTTTTCCAGAAATCAGCCCACCCGGGCACAGGTCACCGACCCACATTGGGACCTGGGGGGCAAAAATGTAATAATAATAACAGTAATAATAATAATAATAATAATAATAATAATAATAATAATAATAATAATAATAATAATAATTACTCATAGATATTGGTTGTGTTTCTCACTTTTGATGTTTTTTTCATTCTTGTATTTCTTTATTATTTTATTAATATTACAGTGGTCCCTCGGTTAACGAACTCAATTCGTTCCAGAAGGTTGTTTGTTAACCGAAACCACTGTTTCAATGGGATATTGGGTAATTGGTTCCAGCTAACAGAAAAGTATATACAAAGTAAAGCCAAAAATGCATATAGTCAGAAACACTCCTAAAATTCCCCTAAATAGCCCTTAAATCTCACACACACACACACACACACACACATATGCACATGTGCACGCACACACACACACAGAGGAAAGTCAAGCCAGTACTTGAAGGCAGTGTACTCGCTATGAAGTGCCGCAACTATGGTACAGCCTACCATCCCTACTACTGTCCAATGTCACATCTTTATGCAACAAGGTGGAGGAGGTCAATGTCACAGTGAAGTCAGTTGGTGCAGGCATTGTGGCGATTACCGAGGCATGGCAAATTGTTCCTGAGATCTGCGCCATAGAAAACTATGAGTTATTTCACCACCTTAGAAAGGATAGGAGAGGTGGGGGTGTAGTTCTGTACTGTCGCAGTGACCTCAAACCATCACCCCTAGGTGTTAATGTACCTGATGATGTAGAAGCCTTGTGGGTTCAGGTCACTCCCACCCCTGCCAGCTTGCCTCCCTCATTGTCTGTGTTTGCTATCATCCCCCCGCACACCAACCGCCAATGTACTGATGACTCATATTATATACACTGCTGACTCCCTGAGAGCCAGATTTCCATGTGCTAAACTAGTGATATGCGGTGACTTCAATGAGTTAGACATCAGTGACATCACCCAACACCTCCACCTTACACAAATAGTTGACTTTCCCACACATGGCAATGCCACCCTTGACCTCATCATGACTGATCTCGGTAACCACTACCTTCCCCCCCAGCCGCTGCCTTCCATGGGACGCAGCCCCCACCTAACCCTACTGTGGTCACCTACTCCAACCTATTCACCACCGCCAGTTACCACCAGGACTTACCGACCGATTCTGCTATGCAGCATTTTGGACAATGGATACTTACCTTCCCCCTCCCAGTGTTCAACCATATGAAATCGCCAATAAACTCCTGAAATTTAAATCCAAACGCTCCACGACCCCAATTGACCTCCCAATCAAAATATAAAAGGAGTTTGCAGTTGAACTTGCCACCCCCTCTGTTCTATTATTAATGCATCCCTCAGACAAAGCAAATGCCCTAATGAATGGGAAAACCGCATTTATCAACCCCATCCCCAAGGTCACCACCCCAGTAGGGTGTGTCATACGGAGGCAAATTCTTTTTTTTTGAGTTTGAAAAATCGGCCCATGGTATTAATGATGTAGTTCTCTGTGCAGAATCATGTGATATCTTCAGATTTGAAAAGTTTTCATTTTTTGCTAGGTAAATTTTAACTTGAAATCTTATGAAAATTCAGTATTCCCACCCTTTTACCAACACCACTAAATAGCTTATTTAAAGTAAAGTAAATGTATCAGGTTAATTTATTAGGATGAAAATGATCCAGAATAGTGAAACGAATGATCTTGACACATTTATTAAATTTAATATTCCTTTAGAAAACAAAATCATCAAATACAAAAACCGGTTTTACTACTACGACCCGGTGTTGCTGCACACCATAGAGAACATGTCTTTCTTGCTTCTGTTTCTACTCATCACCTCCCTGCTGACCACTTGAGCTCGGATGTAGCCTTCCCTCCTCTCCTGGCTGTAC